ATCCAGCAAAGCACTTCAACACCTGCTTAACATCAAGCACAAGGCGAGTCCTACTGAAATCAAGAGGATGACGCACAAGCTTAAAAATAAGAGAGCGCTTAAGTCTTTCCTGGACAAGGCCCCAGATCAATGGCAGAGCCAAGCCCCAAGGGGAGGAGAACGGTCTTGTCCTTAAAGCTTTAGGGTTCAAATGCTGGCTCTTCCACAAACTCTCCCTCTTACCTTGGGCATCTCTCTCCACCTTAATGCTCCATGTTGCTTTTTCCCCCTGTCCGCTTAGATCAAAGTGTTTTCAAGCAGATCCTATGGGAAACCATCTCCCACTTGACGTGTGCCCAGAATGTGCACCAGAACCTGAAGATCAGCGGGAACTACCAAAATACGGTAATAAATCAGTAGGACACAGCTATTCCCATCTCCCAGTGCCTTTGGCACGTGTCTGGTGCAGATGATGCTTCAAAGGCACATCAGCGGATGAGACACAATCCCAGTCAAGGAGGGAAAGGTTAGGTGAGCGTGTATCCAGGAGGGGACAGCAGCGGAGGCCTGGCTTTTACAGCCCTCATTTCACATGTCACTGCCTCGTTGTCGCTTCCTTCACGGTAGGAATATTTTACAGGGCTCTGGGTCACGGGACTCTCCTGGAATGCTAAAGCGCTGTCGTCAGAAACCCAAATGACTCCTCAAAGAGAGTCATCCATTCCCTGCGCCTCCTGCCTGCTGCCCCTCTGCGCCTGGGAGACAAGAACAACAGCCATAAATAACCGCTGTCAGGTGGTGGCAGATTCAACCTGCACTTAGCCAGAGACAACAAATGGGGAAATAATGTCTAGGCCCAGATTTAACCCCTGATGTTCATCCCTCTGGCAGGGAAGCAGCGCAAGGCCTAGGAACGCAGGGACGGCCAGGCTGAATGTGTCCTGGCTCTGTTTTTAAGTGTAGAGCTGACTCGAGAAGCGTCTTTCCAGTAACTTGGCGGCACCACAGTTCCAGCAACATTTCAGATCGGACATGCGATTTGGGCTTCAGAGGCAAGAGGAGCTTTGAGAGAGTGATGAAGATGGAGCCAGACTGCTACAGAGCTGTATCTGCTGATGGGAGGCCAGGCATTGCTCCCACAGAAGCGGAGGGAAACCTTGCCTAGAGTAGGTACTGTGCCCCATCAATGCCCACCTGTTTGCCCCCCGGTAGGATCAAAGGCTCCCGAAAGGAGAGGGAGGGAACGACTGAGAGCAGCGCACTTGTTGAGTTTGCATTGGAAAGCCCTGACTGCAGAGGCCCCTGTCGGGATAGACAGCATGAGAGCCACTGCTAACTACTGCATGGAAAGGCTTCGGGGCCAGAGATGCCCGCGTGCCTCTGCCAGACGCTGCATGGGGGTAGAGCTGGGGAAGAGGGAAGGGGCAGCCCTCCAAGAGAATCGGCTCAAAGCACAATTGGGAAATGGGCTCTCCCTCTGCCCCCCAGCTCTCCTTTGATCTCCTCTCCTCTAACTGCTACACAAGGGTGTTTTCCCCCTTTGTTTCTGCTGCCCTCATTTATCCCACTCTTAATTTCTCCCCCTTGACTTTAATTGGGGTCTCATTAGTCTCTCTATCTCCAATCTGGTGAGCACTTACTAAAAGAAGCCCCCTCCCTCCCTGCCCCAAGTTTGATGCCCTGATTTCTCCCCCCACAGCTCCCCTAAAAGAGCCACTCCCGTTCCAAGCACTTTGGACATCCGACCCGCGTCTGTGCAGCTGGCAGCAGCAGTCATGATGGGGCTGAGAAGGGTCTTCAAAGGGGAAAAGATTTGGGGGCTCCTCTTTGCTGTGGCTGTGCAGCAGCTCACTGCAGCACCCTGGCCTTCACTCACTGATGGCCACTGAGCCTCTGGAAGCCAGTGCAGGTTCTGCCTGAATGAGGAGCACAGGGCTGGGCTAAGTGAGCCATTCCTAGTGCAGACACAAACTGGCACAGGTCCTGCCCGCATCTGTCAGCTCATGTCCTCCCAGGGCTCGTTCAGCCTAGAGGTTGGTGGCAAACGCTTGACGCTACTCCTTGGATCATCATGTCAAGACCCAAGCTGCATTTCTTCTGCAAACAGAGGCAACAAACACCCTCTCTGAGTGGGGTGGAGGTGGAGCGAGTCAATTCAGGCCTCCTGGTGGCCCTCCATTACCAGCCAGGCTAACTGGACTTTGAACCTGTTATTTGGAGATGACAGAGGGAGGCAGATAATGACAGGCAGAGAGGTAGGCAGAGCCCCTGGGTGTGGGAAGGCCACAGGCTGCCTCCGTCCTTACAGGGCATGTCTGATGTTTGGAGAAGGGAAGTGAGAGCCAGGATGCTGGAGTTAGATCCCCTCTTGGACTGTAACCGAGTGGCTAAAACAGTTGTTCTCAGCCTTTACCCACTCGAGGCTGCCCTCAGAAATGCCAGCTCTTCGTTTTCACCCATTTTTTTACTACAAAAAAAACACTAGAGCACGTCTTCTGTTGCAAGGAACTCAGGAAGAGCATAGCAGGGCGGAAGGGTTTTAGCCCCAAGAATTTCTATTTGAAACCTCTGGGTTTATCTTGTCTGCATACCTAGCACTGCTAACATTGTGAGGCACCCCCAAAAGGTGTCTAGGCACCCCAGGGTGCTGCAACACCTTGGGGGTCTTTAAGAGAAGGCTGCATAGGCATCTGGCTGGGGTCATCTCACCCCAGCACTCTTTCCTGCCCAGGCAGGGGGTCGGACTTGATGACCTGTTGAGGTCCCTTCCGACCCTAGCATCTATAAATCTATGAACACCCTGCTTGAGAATCACCAGGCGCACCTACGTGTGCATTTACAGCACAGTAAGCAGTTTTTAGGCTGGCATCTACACGTGCAGGTGTTACAGTGCAGTAACATTGTGTGTGGACTGACGTGGGGCTAAAGTTATTCCCAAGTCAGTCTATACACACAGTGTTCCTGCGCAGTAAGGCATCTACATGTGCATTACTGTGCAGTAATGAATCGAGCACAAATTTGCTACCTGCATCATGGAGGTAGCAAATTTACGTCCAAGTCGGCATAAGTCGCCACAGTTACTGCGCAGCACGGACATGCACGTTTAGACCCATGCCCATACCGTACAGTAATTGTCGGTTACTACACAATAACCTAAATTACTGAGCAGTAAATGTGCACGTGTAGACGCGCCCACTGAGTTGCAACAAGACTGCTGGGGTCAGGTTGCTGCTCGCAGCTCTGGGCAGATCACTGGGACCAGACGCAGAGCTCTCGCTGACAAGGAGCACAGCCTGAGACACCTCCCAGGGCAGATCCCCCCCCCAAGTTCAGGGGGCGTGTGGGGGAGCTGCAGGTTCTTATCTCCTGGAAAGACCAGGCCTGTAACTGCTCTGTCTCTCTCCATTGGGGAAAAGAGGGCAGTCATCCTGACTGATTTCAGACGGAAGGACCAAAACAGCCACAACAGCACAGGATACCGAGTGCAAATGTCTCTGGGAACGCAGCAGGTCCTGGCCAGGCCTTGCAGGCCCTGGGAAAGCATCTCTCTGCTGACAGCACTAACGACTGCTCTTTAAGCAGAACTAATAAGGCTGCGTCGCGCCCCGGCTCCTTTTCAACTCCGATACGGCTCCCTTCCCTATTAATATTATCAGGTGCTTTATGAAGATAGAGTCTCCTTGCTTTGTGGCTCTAATAACAGTGCTAGCTATACTGGACAAGAGTCAATAATGGTAAGCTGGAGAGCTTATCTGAGGCTCGCTCCCCTGCATACAAATCTCATTTAAAGAATGCCCGGTGTCAGTAAACAGTTTTATTACTGACTATTTATATTGGTTTCCCCTTATCCTCGTGGATCGGATGGTAAATTACCTGCCCGAGTGCTGTTCATTCAGGGGTCCTCATAGTTAACAACCCAGTCACAGGCCCAGCCCTGGTGGAACACATGTATCGATTTCCCCCAAATCAAAGGAGAGGGCTGAGGGGCTGTGGTGGGTGGTTTTTAAACCAGAGCTGCCAGGGTAATGAAGTGACTCTCATCTCTGCATCTGAATGGGGAACGTGGGGTCCGTTGTGCTGGAGCCTCCAGGGGCTGGAAGTGGGAGGGTTTGCAAGGTGCCAGGTGAAGGGTGGATACCCCAGCACCTTCCCCCTTCTCTGCCCTCTTCTTTCCTGGCACAGGGAGGAGTGGGGAGGGCAACCGCTCAGACACTGCCCTGCCTTAGAAACAGACCCAAAGTCCTGAGCCGGGTGGCAGATGTGCCCGTGCCTCCGCCTACAGCACGGGCCCTGCCCACGACACAGGGAGGAGCCTCAAGTGGTCTCCAGCCGCGTTCCCTTCCCTCTCCCCCCTGCCCCGTGGTGCTGACGGGCCCCTCAAGGCCAAAACCAGGCCTATTGGATGTGCCATTGGCAGCGCCACCGAATCAGTGGGAGAGGAACCAGGGGGGAAAAAACCCCTAGCCAGGCCCAGGGTGTGCCCCCTTTCAGCACAGGAGGCGCCTACGGCCGCGCCGAGGTAAACCTACAAGCCCCCTCGCTTCGGGGGGCCACGGACTGGGGCTAGTAAGAGGAAACCAGGGCAGGAGGGAAGCCCCGGGGGGTCCATAGGGAAGCTTAAAGGTTGATGGGAAAGCTCAGGGGGTGACAGGGAAGTGTAGGGGCTGATAAGGAAGCCCGAGGGTCCATAGGGAAGTGTAGGGGTTGAAGGGAAAGCTCAGGGCTCCACAGGGAAGCCCGGGGGGGGATAACGCGGCCCCCACAGGCCCTGCTCGAGCCGCGGCGGCCGGCGCCCGGCCCGGGGCAGCAGCAGGGCCCGGCCCGGGGCTGGCG